AGTAACTCCTTGTATCATTAGCTATTGAACCGCAGCTTGATGTGGAGATCAGTGTAAAAGCTTATTAGTCTTTAGACAGTTGGCAGCAACAGCCACTGCAGCAACCGTTCGGGAGCAGAAGGAACTCATTCAGTTTAGTTGTTTTTCAGGTCATGTTAAGTCAAAATGTTTCCGTACGCACTCCAGTCCCCAGCTTAACCTTTTTCAGCCTCTCTAAGCGCAACTACGCTTACAAACAGCTTCGACTCACACACTCCTCTGATAAAGGGGGCTCCAGGAGCACGGCGCAGGTATCTAAAAAATTCCTGCCTGGTGCCATTGTGTAAGGATTTCACCCTACTTTGGAGAGCAAGGACTTGCCAAGAATACCACTGACCTCAGCCCCTACATTATGAAACAGCACTGCCAGCTCCAGCCAGCTCTGTAAAAGTAGGGATTGAATTCAAATCCTGAGCCACCCGTACTCCGGGGCAATAACAAAACACACACACACACTCACACACAGAGGGAAAAAAAAATAATAATAAAGAAAAAGAGAAGAAAGGAAAAAAAGAAAAACCACATCACCGAAAAATTATACTCTTAAGTTCATTTTCTTTTCACCGGAAGCAACCTTCAAAACAAACCCAGCTGGCGTTTCTCCCTCTCCTTGCCCCAAAATTAGGGAGTAGGAGGAAAGTTGTCGCGTTAATGCGCGCCTTCCCTTCCCGGGAGCTGCCGACCGGGAATTCAGCGCTGGGGAGTTCGGCGGGGGCTGGGAGCGGGGTCAGCCCTGGCCGCGCCGCCGCGGAGCGGGGCCGTGGGGCTCCGACCGCCCCGGCCGGGGCTGCGCGGGGTGGGGGCAGCGGGGCGGCCCCTCCGCCCGCGGGAGCCGCGGGGTCCGGGGCACGGGGCGCTTACCTGGGGGCTCCGCTCCGCCGGGTTCTTCATCACCGCCTGGCGGAAGCTGTTATCCACGTAGGACGCCATCGCGCCCCTGCCGCCTCCCGCCGCCGCCCGGGAGGCGCTGGGGGAGGGCGGCCGCGGCCTGGCGCTGCGCGGCCGGAGCGGGCGAGGAGCGGGAGCGGCGGCGCGCAGGCACCGCGGGCTCAGCAGCGCCGCCGCCCGGAGCTGCAGGCGGCGGCCGAGCCCCGCCGGGGGCAGCGGCGGCGACCAGGGCTCGGCGCTCCCTCCCGAGCCGGCTCTACGCCTCCCGCCGGCCCGCTCCGCCGCATCCCCTCGGGCACCGTCCTCGTCGCCTCCTCCCTCCTCTTCCTCCTCCTCCCATCCGGGCTGATGGGGGGCTCCGCGCCCGCCTCGGCGACGGGGAAGTTGCCGGCTCGGGGAGGCGGAGCGGCGGGGGGCGGGCCGAGGCGGGACGGAGGAGGAGGGGGGGCGGGTCGCCGGGGGTCGCCGCCGGCAGGGTCCCCTCCGGCTACGGTGCCTCAGCATCCTCCCCCTGGGAGCACATCCTTGCCCGGTTTAACCACAAAAAAGAAGTCTGAGCGGCCGCCGCCATGGTCCCGGGGGACGCGCATCATCGCAGCTTCGGCGGCGCTCCCTGTGCATGGATATTGGTGATGGGCAACCTGAACGCCAAAAAAAAAAAATAATAAAGACTTGATCTGCAGAATCTAGTGACTTCGGGGAAGCCACCTGTTGTCACGCTTCTCAAAAGTAATCCGTATCAGCCGGCTGTCCCCTCTGTCATTGCTATGTGGGGTAAAAACGGGGAAGGGAAGGGTGTGAAATCGTTAATTTATCACTGTTCTGGGGGTTATCTAGCGGCGGATTCTTCTCACGTGAACTTAAGTTTTTAAAGAATAAAGGATCTCGCAACATGGCTGATTTTCTTTGTTTACCGCGACACCGAGCACGTCTCAGCAGCAGCCTGACAAACGCCAACCATGGAAGTATTATTAGCGTGCCATTAGCGGCGGGGTAATACTATTAATGTATTTGCTTTCACAAGTGATGTGTACCCTTCGCTGATACGGATCACGCAATGTAAATAATGTCAACACTAATAAATCTGTTTAATTCCCAGTCACTAGCAGTCACATTTCAATTCCAAGTAAGGCAGTGTCATCTTTATTTGATGCTTGTATTTGTGAAAATTTCCAGATATATCCATCTTTTCCTTACAAAACATACACTGCTAGTCCCAGGAGAAAAAATGTTACACTTTTAGACACAAGTGGTTCTCAAAAATGCTGTGTCTTCAGACAGGAATCTACTAAACCTACTCAATTTCTAGATATGGCTCATTAACAAAGATAACTCTTTGGGCTAATCCTACTCATATGTGTCAGCAAAATATTTTTGCAGTAATACCAATTATTCTAGGCAGATCATGGGAAAATACTAGGGAGTGCTCCACATTCTCTGTATCTTGCTTATTAGTGCTTACTAGAAATCCTTACGGGAGACTTTAAATTTTTTTTTCCTTTTTTTTTATTTTTTCTTTTTTTTTTTTTTTTTTTTTTTTAGTAACAGATTGAAAATGTCATGTCCTGTGCCCTAAGAAATAACAGTTTTAATATGCCTCGTGTTCATCATCCAGTGATGATAATAATTCCTTCAAATTAATCAAGCCTGCAGCTATAGAAAAGTGCCAGCTTTTCTGCAGCTCAGTTTACCAATCCGGAGTGCTGGAATGCCCTTTTTTTGGGGGGCATATGTATAGCAGGAGTGCCACAGGAATGTGAGGAATGCTCTCTTGGGCTTCACTCCTCAATCACTTCAGGGCACCCATTCCCTGCTGCTGCAGCCTAGCTTGCCTGACATCTTTATATCTCTCCATCAAAACAGAGCTACCCACTCTATTTTAATATGCAATTATCTTTCATTTCAGACCTATTAGCTGTAACAGCATCAAGTCGAGTGTTTCGCTCTGGTTAATTTTTTGCTGTGCTGTCTGGTAACACAATACCTGTGATTCATAGGGATATTCCACTTCAGAGAACGGGATTTCAGGGCTCTCATTGTATTCTGATCAGTGTCACAAATCTCGATGGTTATAGATCTGTGTCAAAGGCCTATAACACATCACATGACTTGTTAGAAATGGGAATGAATGAAAGAAGAGAATTGTACATAGAGAACTATGTACAAATATACTCAACAACTTCTCAATAATATTTAAGGATGTGTTGTGTTAACACCTTTTCTTGTGTCTGTAAGCAACATATTTGTATAATGCAAATACTTCTGATTATTCATATCCTCCATGGTGGATACTAGCATGTCCTTTATGCTGGTTTTTTTTTTTTTTTTTTTTTTCTTGCTGAAATCAGTCTAGTTCTAGTCTGAATAGAAAAAAATAAACAATAAATCAGTAAATAATCATCAAGATTCAGAGTAAGGACAGTTATTATTGAGAAAGCATGCAATTATCTCCAGAAACCCCCATTTTTCACTATAAGTATTCAACAAAACATAATTTATGGTGTCAAATGCTTTTGCAACTTTCATTTTTTCTTAGTCTTACTGTCTTCCTGTTTTTTAGCTTCAACAAAAAATCACTATGATTTAAAATACACATATACACCAGGACATGCCATTCATTTTGCTTATTGGTTACTCTTCAAGCTATATTATCTAGCTTTACCCTTATTTACAATGGACTGGGGTTTTTTTTTTGAAGGGGAGTGTTTTTCTGATCATGGTAATACATTACACAGGTTTCCTACCCATCTTACACCAGGGAACCAAGAGTTAACTATACACATGCGGTTCATATAATGTTGCTATTTCAACAGTATGAAAACACTGCAACAAAAAATATGACACCTCAGCATAATATCTTTTTGGATAGCTAGAAGTAATAGCTATGTTGTTTTTGAAGTATTTTGCCTTAGAAATACAGGGTATCTGCCCTCCTGAATATGTCCATTTCTTTCAAGTGGTAATTTGAAATGGTCAGGTCAAACAGTTACTAAAATGCTAAGAAAACAAATTCAGCAGTTCTGGGAGCATTTTGTTCTTTTGCTAAACCTCATTTTTAAGAAGATACACTTTGAAAAGCTTGCACTTGGCTTAGCCACATGGCTTTCAATTCATTACACCTGTAGTTAGACACCTGCAGTTAAATGCTTGGCTTGTTTGGGATGCACCAGTCTGCCCTGGTAAGAAATAAAACATTGCCATTTTGAGGGAGTTTAGCATTATAAACTGTCTATATGGTTATAAGCCCAGGGATGCTCCTTTCTCCCATTTCTTGGGTAGGTACATGCTTCCATCTATCTACTGGAGATAGCACAGCAGGTGAAGCAGATTCATGCCGTCAAACTCCAGCCCTTAGAATTGCCCTTCTCCTTCCCAGATCTTTCTTCTTGGCAACCATAAAAAGATACTTCCATAACCATTCATGGAGATGGACAGTTATTGAGGAACAGAGTTATTGGCCGGGTGGACCCTCCAGAGCTGACCTTGAGAACAGTAGCCATCCCCTCTGGACTGGGCAGAAGCCAATTTTGTTGGATTTTAAGTCAAAGATGAATTATATTAGGTACAAGTAAGGCCACTACCGAGGAGAGATGATCTTAGCCTTCAAATAAGATTAGCCTCTATGCTCTCTCTTTAGGGTGGCATCATATCCAAGAATGATTCCCACCTTCTGGGATTTATACATGGCTGGGATTACTACCACTTGCAATTCCAGTTTTTAGTACCTTCTGCACTATGATGAAGGGCATGTGAATTTGCTTGCTTGCTTGTTTGTTTGTGTGGTTTTGTCTGTTTATTTTTTAGATAACATCCTCTGTTATTGTGGATATTTGTTGTCCAGTAATCACTTATGTACGGAACAACCACTCTGCACCTATGATAGATAGAAGGCTGATTCAGACCATAGTAAAATAATTCTTGAATGTTTACCACAGGTTTTATGATCCTTTTATACTCATAAGGCATATGAAATTCTAAAGATTACAAAAGAGAACCTGGCCTGTGCCATAAAGGAAAAATCATCCTTTGTTTTTTTCTTGAAGGAAAAACAGAAGAACTTTTGACTACTATAATGCATTTCATGCATTTATTCAGAATTTGCCACTATTTGCATAGCTACATTTGGGAGTATTTATCATTAAACTTCTGCTGTAGCTGCAGATGTATGCAAACCAGCTTTAGCTAGTTATATTAATACTAGAGAAACAGCATGTACCGTCCAAGTATTTATATGATCTTGGAGAGGAATTCACAGTCCACACAGTGTTCCCTTCAGCTGTACTGATAAAGGTGCCCAAACAAAAGGAAAGGTGGCTGTACTGCAGCAGCACCCGGGAGGCATAGCAGCAGGCCTGTGCTGCACACTGTGTGAGCACTGAACAAATCTGCAGCAGCTCTTGAAGGTCAAGCGTGTGTTTCTGAAGCTCTGGAACATCTACAGAAACTTGCTCTGTGCTTGTGACCACGGTACAGGTCTGCCCCTCATCCCTCTGGAGTAAAAGTGATGATGGGAGGTCTTCTCTCCTGGTACCCCCGCTGGGAAGGTGTGCTCCAGATCTCAGGTCAACATCTGCCCCAACTTCCCCTTCTGTGAAAAGAGACACAAAAGTATCAACTAAACTTCTTAGGTATTCTGAGATACAAAGAAGCACAGTAAAGTGCTATTTCTAGTAACAGTAGCAGCAGCATTTTGAGGGCTTTTTTTTTTTGCTTTTTTTTTTTTTTTTTTTTTTTTTTTTTTTTTTTTTTCTTTAACATAAAATGAACCATAGAGAGAAACAGTGAAATTGCATCTTTTGCACATCAGGATGTGTGGTGAAAGAGGGTGGATTGGTGGGATGGTACAAAGCACACAGCAATAAGTCAGTGCTTTGGTCCTGGTGTGCTCTGGGACAGGCTGCCAGCGTGGAGAGGTGCTCTTGGTGGGTCTCAAATTGCACCTGCTACACAGTGGCAAAAGTATCAGAGAGACTAAAGCCAGTGTCATTTTAGATACATTACACTTTCTGAATAATGTATAGGTTAAAAAGGCACTCCACTCCTTTACAAATAGTCATCCATGAACTAATATAGGCAGGATACACATAGGAACAATTTCAACTGTTGAATGTATCTCATAACAGTTTCATGATCTACATATTTGGTGTCACATATATTTCTAATAATATATTTCAGTAAATGACAAATCAAATAAGGAAAAAAATATTTCATTCTTACTCATTGCCTGTGAAATTTAAATGACTGAACAAATTAAAGCCCAAGCTTACATTTCACTGTTTTACCAATAAACCAATCTTTCATAAAATAAAATACAAGCTTACTCTTTCTGAAATAACTATAATTGCATTATTTAAAATAATCTTTTGAAGTTTCTACAACCCAAATATTACATGATTGTGCCAAAGTATCAAAAGTAGAAATTGTCTAAAAGTCAAATATAGATGGGATTACTATTTATTCAAAGCTGGCCAAGTCTTTAAAATAATTTAATTCATACATATTAATGATAGATAGCCAGATGATGATCATTGTCCAACAATACTGCTTTTCATAAAACACTTGATGATAAAGTTATCTAATAGATAATGCAGAATGATAAATAAAATATGTAAAGCTCTGCTAGGAAAATGAAAAACATAGGCGATAGGAGCTTTATTCCTGAATCAGGATATAAAATATTTATATGAGAAAAAAAAGTTATTAAAATTGTTATTAAAACCTTTGGATTTGATACTAAGTGCCTAATTTTCACTGGCTGCCCTCAGAAACCATTTCATGTTTTAAAAGTGAGATATATCATATATCATATATCATAATTATATATTATATATTATATATTATATATTATATATTATATATTATATATTATATATTATATATTATATATTATATATTATATATTATATATTATATATTATATATTATATATTATAGAAACATTTGTCTTCAGCTTTACTAGCTGTTTAAAAATATGAATGTATTTATAACTTTTGGCATTACTTGAGGGCATTATTCTACAAATTAATTTTACAGCTGGTAGCATTTTTGCATAATGTATTATTGATTAATTATTCCAGATATCTCCCGTCCTCGCTCCAGAACCAAGCACTGCTTACTGCACTGCTAAGTCAGCCCATGCTGGAGCTATTCCTTGGACTGGGTCCCCAAACACCACATTCCTGTCAGTTTTCACCTCTTTACTCTTGTCACCATCTTCCAGAGAAATCATCCACGCTCCGTCCTGCCTAACACACTGTGGTGAATCACAAACATGTTCCAATGTAATACTCCCGGCACTTATTAGAAGAGCATTTGCATTTACATTGCTTCCTAACAACCTTTATAAATTATTGCTTTGCCTTGAAATTAATAATCATTGTGGATAATGTTTATGTGGCTCAGCCTTCTTCATCCTTCAGTCACCATTTAGATCTGTTCAAAGCATATGGGGATGTGTGGGTGTGTACTTAAGTGAATGTTTCTCTGCTGTGCATACATATCCTGGCAAAGCATATTCACACCTATATCATAATGTGACAAGTACTAGGTACCAATTTAAATGAATAGAACCAGCTTTAAGTTCAGTGAATTCTGTAAAAGTTGGTATTTTTGTTACTTACAAATTAGTGATACCAGACTCCATCAATTTCTGTTCCATCTATTCTTCCAGGAAGAAACCATCCAATAACTGGAATAAAAGAGTTTTAAAATAAAATTTTATTCTATCCAAAGAAAGCATATTCCAGGTAGATGGACGCTGAATTAAGCTACCAAGGTGATCTAAGCTTATCATAAAATTGTTTTGATAATTCTGGACAATTTAATGACAATATGCCTCACCTTGTGTGTGCAGAGCTCCTCACTGAACTTGTATTCAAAGAACATTCTTAATAGACAGATAATAAAAAAATTACACACTTCAGGTTCAAAACACTATTATGACCAAATGTGTTTTGTAGATTCTACAATCTCTGTTAATGTCAGCAGTGAAAATTAAGGCTTTCTAGTCCTTTCCTTTTGTAATTAACTTAATACAAAGAGATCCCTACTTCCACTGTAACCTTCAGCTTCTGTACAAATGCATAATGACACACTCAAGGCTAAAATTCAGTTGGAGCAAGAAATCCTCCAGTAACACAGAAACAGAGATGTGAAGGACCAGACAAAATTAAGCAGTACTGCACTCTTAAGCAGTCACTAGCTCTGAGGTAGAAGTTTACACAATGTATTCCCTGTGTTTCTTGGATCTAAGACAGACAGCAACAACTTATCACTTTTCCTCAGGGTTTTTATGTTAATTTTGTTATTTGTTTCATTTATGTAACAGATACTCATAATACTCTTTAAACATTCAGCTGCTAGCTGTGATAAACACTATCTTCCTACTCCTGCAACAACTGATTTGTGCTGAGAACATGCACCATTGTCTTCTCGTGCCACTGGTGGAAGAACATGGGAACACACTGCCTCTTTCACTTTTCCTTTCTAGAAAAAAAAAATTAAAATAAGAATAAAAAGCCTCTGTCTTTGTTGCTGTGCTTAGCAGAGCAAGTAGCAGAGGGAAGTTGCAGATGAAGATCTGTAGCCAACCAAGTATATCTTGTAAATAAGTTTTCTAGGTCAGGAAGAGAAACTGACATGTGGGAAGTAATTGGACAGAAAGAGGTAGTAGAGATTAACGCTTTGTGGCAAATAGATGACTCTCTGGAAGATGTAACTTTTGAAAAATAAGGGAACTCTCAAAGATTTTGTTGGAGGAAACTATTTGCCAAGAATTTTCCTTTTGTTTTTTTTTTTAGATTTTTAGTTTTTTGGGTTTTTTTAATTGGCCACTTACACGTGGCACCTGCCATATGCTGGCACCTGACTGGCATGACAAGAGCCCTGTGCACTGCCACTGTAACCACACTCCTGCTATCCATATTTAAATTTTATCTCTCTTCCTTCAGCTCAAGCTAGCTGGAATGGAGACAATCCTGTGTATTTAGTCTTTGGATAAGGAAGTCTTGAAATACTTCACAAGTACCCTCCTGCAAATAAACTGGAGGGTGGAGATTGGCATCCAAGTACTCTTGTTTGTGCACAAGCAGCATTCACATGAGGAAGCAGATTCTTCGGTGGGAGAAGAGTTCCTGAGAAGAGTTCCAGATCATTCTCCTGCTTCAGTGTATCTTTGTTTTACAGCCCATGTCCTCATCTGATTAAAACTGAAATCAAAAAAAATCTGCTTGTTTAAAACAGCTAAGCACTCTCTCCCTGTCTCTGATCCCTGCTGGGCTTTTAGGGAGTTCTCACAGTGCTGCAGCAGAGGATGGGCTCCAGCTAAAAAAAATAATGCATTGCTTGAAACCCCCAGAGAAGCACACCTCTCTAAGGTGCACTCAGCCGTGCCCCAGGAAGAGCCGCATGATGAACAGCAAAACAATCTTGCCCCTGTTTGCCCAATGGCGACATCTGTGTCTTGTTAGTGATGCACGAACTGTTAAAATAGTTCTTCTCTCAGGTGGAAGGGAGCTGTGTAACTTCATTCCGTTGATGTGAGTAGCTAACAATGTTGCCTCAAGCCTTTGCATTACTGCTGCATACAGGTATGAGCTTAGATTCCTCTTGCTATAGAGCAAAGGAGTTGAAGCACAGGAGAAAATTTCAGCTTTAATTAACCTGTCTTGGTCCCTTGTGTTACAAAAATACTCTCAATGCTCCAGAAGTAAAGTATTTACATGGATACTTTGCTTATTTTCAAATAGACTTTCTGAAGTTTTATTTGAAGTACCTGGAATCTTTAACCCACATTCATCTCTAATATACTCTCAGTGAGGGTCCCTCTACACCTTATATATAAATCTCTGACCCAGATAGTGAGTTGACACTCCTGGTCAATGTAGATACAAGTGATTAAAAACACATAGAGCAGACCTTCAAAGTGCAAAGAGGGGTCTTTCAAGCAAAAATACAATTTTTTTAAAACCAATAATACTACAGCTATTCAGTTCGTTTGAATTTGGAGACCAATACTGAAGTTAGGGGAAGTATTTTCCTACTGTGGTTAGATCTTAAAAGATCTGTGCATGTGGGAATTAAATTGCACTTCACTTTATGGGAGCCTCAAACCTGAAGGTTCCAAGGCTAATCTTGTGGAAAATAAGAAAGGAATTTGTAGGTGGATGAAAATGTATGGCATTTGAGAAAAATTGGACTACAGTGGCCTGAACCCATTTTGTAGTGCTTGTAGATCTTTGTTTTAGCAAATTTTAAAGAGAAATAAAAGTACTGAAGATATCCAAAGCAATATATAGCTTTGAGCTATTCACTAAAATATCTCATGGTATGACCACATATATGTCTTTTCTTCAAACCCATGCAGGTAAGTAGTGGCCCTGAAAAAGCTTCTCTTAACCTTAACCCAAATGATAAAGGTTAAATCTTATGGTATCTCCATCTTCTAGGAAGCATTTGCAACCCTTTTGAAAGCAACTGAAAATACTTAATTGGCCTAGATGCACTCACTTGCACAATTATAAAGTGAAATAGGGCAGCTGGCATTAAAGGCTGAGGATGTAGAAACCATAAAAATGTGATAACTTGTTCCACTTTTAATTTCCCTTAAGAAAAATTTCATTAATTTATGTGCCCATCGTTTCCCTGAATTTACCTGAAACACTGTATAGTAGTCATAAAGCCAGAAAATTACTCACTTTTCCTTTTTCTCCAGAGTACTTTGTGGGGCCAGATAGCTTTCCCAGGCAAATAGGAGAGAGATAAGATAGAATGTCAAAGTGTTCTGGGGAAAAAAAAAAAAAAAAAAGAAAAATTTTTGGGGTTAAAAAAGCATGGCTAGTTTATACCATTCCAATCCTTCACCCTACTCTTTGCAGCACTAACAATGCAGTCCTACCTGACAGACCAGAGAGTTCAGCTACACTCAACATCTTTCCTGAGATGCTGCAGAGTCCTTCATTCAACTGACATACCTGTGCAAATATTCATTTCTTGAAAAAAACCCCAATAATCTGAAAGAAAACAAAGCTGCATCAAAAAGCAGGGAAGACGGAACAGAATTAAAATATACCCTTGTCTTAGCCTATCAAGCTCTACCCTCCTCAGGGCTTGGGCTAGACAGGCTGTCTGCAATCTGTTTACCCAGAAAGCATAGAGTAGGTGTATGTCTGTGGAGCAAACCCCTGTGCCTGCGGACTCCCCCTAGCAGCTAGCCCCTGCTGGCTTATCCAGAAGAGCCTCGCCATCCTCACATCCCTAGCAACTATTCCTTATGGGGCCAAGTTGGCTGCAGTTTCCCAAGCCAATTTTTCCAGCTACCTATGCAGGCCCTAAGGCCCACTGAGACCTTAAATGATGATTATCAGACAGCCTTCGAGGTCTTGCTGACCTAGTTTAGAAACCACATCCCAGAGTGGTCCTGGCCAGGTTATGTGTGCTGGTCAACGCTGGAAACTTCCACTGGCTTGTCTGTGCAAGGTAAAGCATGTCAGCACAGTCGTGCCAGTAGCTCAGTGCAAATACATCATTATAGAGATATCTTTTGCTGCTACAGCTTATTTCAGCCTCCTCACTAAGATGAGGTACAATATTACAAGAACTTTCAGTGAAAGGGAGTTCATACTGGGACTGTTCAGGTTACTGGAGCTGTTTTAATTATAATCATGCACTCAAAGCAGAAGAAAAAAAAATAATCCTGCACTGTCCTTTCAACTGAGAAGGCATTTTTCATCATTCTTCCCGTAATCATTTCCCTCTGTTTTAAAGTATGGTTTGAGGCAAATGCTCCAAATCTTCTATCAAATTTGAGTCTCTTTGACGATCCCTGTAGGCTCCAGTTCTTCTTTATTAATTGAAGCTTAGTGCAGTAGCATATTTGGCCTCATAAATTTTAGAAATGCTGCATTTTTATCTAGTAGTACTATGACCTGAGATACATTTTAATTAATTTTTGATGTCACTAATCACTTCTTTCATGGGGAAAGGTGTTGCTATGGTGAAGTCTTTTAACTTATTATTTTCATAGAAACACATCACAGAAGAACATTAGGAAAGTGTAAATAATTCCTTCCTTTAAATGCTTGCTGTGCTATACATCTTTGAACAAGTTACTAACATGTGTCCCTCCTTGTTATAACACATACAACAAAACTTGGGCACCTACCTTGCGGGGGCATTTTGAGGGCTGGAGCTTGTAAAGTCCTTTTGAGGATGAAAAGCTTTATGTGAGTATTGAGAACTAATCTCAGCCATGTGGACAAGCCATGCACATTCGAAGTAAAAACCTTTCTAATAACATCCATCTGCATCTTGAATACAAGAAAGAAATTGTAAGACAGCCTGTCAGTGATCAAGGCTTTTTCATGCAGCTCACCCTACTGTTTGGCAGCTGGCCAGCTCAGAGAGCCTACAGAGGAAAATGGCTCCGAAGGAAAAAATGTGCATGTTAAGCAGAGGACAGCTTTTGTGAAGGGTGAGAAAAAACAAGACAAATACCCTTGAATACCAAAGTGCTCTCTGGTACATGCAGGAATGAAGTGAGATGAACTGTAAGGAAGAAACTACAGTAGGCAGGAGCCTTCTCTTCTTGCTATAGATAACTCAAGTCTGTTTGCACTAAACTGGTGAGATAAAATACATTTCCACTTAAGGACCAAGACTGCTTTACTTAAAGGATGTTTCTTTGGAGAGAGGTTGAGAGAACCAAGGAAGGATTTATTTGGAACCGCAGCACCTAAACCAACCAAGAACGCATGCCAGCCTTCAAAACTCTATTAATGATACCATAAAGTCTTTCAAAATAGTATGTGAGGCAATGCAGTAGGATCTGAGCATGCTGAGGGGCTCTGAGCAGCTCTTCTTCAGAGGGAGTGATTTTTCTTCAGTGGGACTTATCTCACTGGCAAAGGCACTTTAGCTCAGGGCACTGGCTCCCTTCTGTTACAAGCCCCTGTGCAGAGTCATCAGCAAATTCTTTTGCCTGATATATATATATATATGTATATGCACACACATATATGTATCCAATGTCAGAATTAGCTCCCTTACTTCCTCTCACCAGTCATCTACAGATTCATTTCACTCAAGCTGTGCTCCAGCTGTACAGCATTGCAGCGCTGCAACAAACATATGTAGTTTCAGCCAATAGTACTCTTTCACTTCCTACAGGATTTTAGTCTCTCTTTTTCCCTGCAATGCTTTGTGCACTACTTCAGATGCAGCAGCATTTAATGAAAGTAAAATATGGAGGAATTAAACTAATAACAAGAAAATCTTAATCTATTATCCTACCTTTAGAGAATTTTGTGAGGAAAGATTTCCAGCCCTCCATTAAAATGTTTATCTGCAAGAGACTCCTCCTCTAACAAATCATGATTTACATTTAGATAGTACCTTTTATTCTGACAGCTTGTCTTTACTGAGAAGTTGATTCCAGTCATGACTCCTGTGTAGCCTTTAATTCAAATTCCTGCCATATAGAAAGAGCCCAAAACTAAATATTTAAGCAGCTTTTAATTCACAATATCTTGCCACAGATCAATTTAGCACAACTCATCAACTGCTAACATGATCAATAATTAATGTGGCTGCAGGTCATCTACTTCAGAGTTCTGTTAGTCTCTGTAATGTCCTCCTGCAGGTTGCTCCATGAGCCCATGGAGAACAGGCCAGCTCTTCCACGGCTCCCTGGAGTGAAATCCATAGAGGAGCTCAGTCCACTGAAAAAAGAAATTTAAAAAACCAAGGAACCAAACCAATTTTAAAAAACCTGAAACCCCACACCAAAGCAAAAGACTTTAAATATGCTCTCAGAAGTGTTCAGGATCCAACAGATGAGCCCTGGTGAATTTTTCTACTGTGGTGTATTGTGTTACTAATCCCAGCATTTGATTTCCTGACCTCCCCTCTCCACAGCAGGGATGGCAGAAGAGCACATGTCCACATCTCAGCTGTTCTAGCACAGAGCATGGCATCTTGAGGCAAAGTCTTTGCAGCTGAAATTGAGATGCCAGACTGTGGATTGAAACAAAATTATTCACCTAGGGGGGGATATATGTTGTTAATTTTGAAGCTCTTTTAAAATAAATGAGCAACCAAGCCTACACAATAGAAAAAGCAGACCATGTGCTGCCTCATATTTCCCTCCATCTCTGAAACAGATCTCTCCAACCAGACACATTATTTGTTGGGCCTGAGGAAGCCCTCATGTCCACCACGTGGCTGCCTCAAAACTGCATGTACTTCTGCAATGTGCTTTACTGCCTTTGCTGTTCTTGTTCCAGCTGAAAATTTCGAAATCATGTGATTTAATCTGCAGCACAATGATACAGCAGCTGTATTTTCCCATCTTCTCCCTTTCTGTGATATATTAGGCTTTTCTACACAAAATAGAAGCATGTCAAGTAGAAGGGTGATCTTTTACTTTGAGAATCATGGACCACCATCAGCTGTGGAAGAAGTTGGCATAGCATAAATACAGACAATGAAAATAAAGGTTACCGCCCTTCTTGTGTGAAAATCAGTAGCAACATAAGCACACTTAACAAGAATTGCATCACTTGTGTGAGTACAACACTTCTTCAATTGCCCTGCTATTTTCAATGGCTACACTTTTTCATGAAGACAAGGGCTTGAGGATGAATGCAGCCTGCGTGTGCTGTCTCCCACTGCCAAGGTAGCCCAGCACAACATTGCAGGTGACAACAGGAGGCTGTGACCAGGCCCTGGATGTGCAGAGGCTGGATGCACTCCCAGCCCTGCATGACAGAGCACGAAAAAATGTGGCTTGTGGGAAAGTAAAGGGAGGAGGAGTGAAAATGGAAGACCAGACTCCCATTTGAGAGGAAGAGGAAGAGAGGCTTCCTATTTGGGAAGAGGAAGAGAGACTGAGGCAAGTCACACTGGGAGGAGCACCTGAAGGGTCAAGAGAAGGCAGCAGCAAAATGTTGATGAACAAGTAACACTTGGTGATTCAAAGCCAGTGTCCACCAGCTCAGCTCTTACTCAGAAGATCAGCATTTCCAGTGGGCATGCACAGGCAGGCACTGCCAGTCAAATGCTCTGAAAGTGCCCGGTAGGGATGTTTTAGAAAAAGAAAACTACTGAAGTGACAATAAAGACGCCTCCATACAAAAATCAAAGCTGCCACGTATGTTTAACTAGAGTGTAAGGAACATTGATATTCTTGATTATTCATTAATTACAAATTTATTTTATTTTAAATCTCTTGCTGAGCATTTTTAATATTATATATATTATATATATTGCTGAAGTATTGAAGACATATTGTGTCATACCAGTCCCTTTAGATTCACACACACAGAAGTGGCTTGTGCCCTAAGGTGGTTACAAGTGAAAAAAAAAAAAAAATCAGGAGACAACAGATGGAACCAGCAGCTGGAGGACTGGCAGAAATCAAGGCATCTCTGACAGACATGCCAGACAGATTTTTGTTTGGGGCTCTTTTGTTCCATATCTTTTGCCAGCACCAAGAAAAACCAAATCTCAACAAAATTACTCGATGAACCATAGAAAAAGCAACTCTAGAAAAAGATCTGCATGTCCTCACTCAGATCAATTGCATGCAGTGGAAGACCCTGAAGAGCCACAGGTGCAGCCCAGGATCCACCTTTTTGCACAAAGACCCCCTGAAATAGCAAATAGCAGCCGAAACCCAGGAAGTCAGACTCCCTACAACTTCAGTTTCCTGAAGACAAATAATTTAATTGTCAGTGGGCAGTCTTCAGCAGACTTATTAAATGCAGGCAAACAGATGTGGGCCTCACTTGGAGCCAGCTCTCCAAGGGCATCTGCAGGGGCTGCCACCCTGTCAGAATGTGGGGACCAGGCTAGGTCAGCACCAGGGACACTGGCAGAGCACGGGACTGATATGTCACAGTGCAGCAGGACAAGAGCAGGCAGCCACTGTGGTGATGGGCACCACCCTACTGCCACCATGCCACAGGGGCTGGAGCCTCCCAGGCAAGGAGAGGCCACATGGGCCACCCTGCCAGCACAGAGCATCACAGGGAGACACACAGGGATAGGGGACGGTGCTGGGCTCTGGAGCCTTTGGCACAGCAGGGATGCTGCTCCAGCCTGGAGCAGGACTGCAGGTGCCAGGGGTACAGGGACACAGGGATACAGGGACATGGGGACACATGGACACGGGGACACAGGGACACAGGGACACGGGACAAGGGCAGAGTTACTGCGTATCTGCACTGACGGTGTCTGTGCAGTGGGGTAAATGTGACAGAGTGGTGATTAAAGCACAGGCAGCACAGCAAAGAAAGATTAAGCAGTGACACCAAATGTATGTTAAATGGTACCATAGTCTTTGTTTCATGACTGAAACATTTCCTGACTAGTCTGATGCCTAAAAAGAAAAAAACATAATTTTGATGTTCGCATTTTCCGTATCAAGTATCTGGGTATTTTTCAACCACAAGGGATTATTTATTGTGTGCTAGGCACATAAAGACACACACACCTAGGGACAGTAACATGAACTGGATGTTTTGTCAATGTGGAAGCTTTTATGCCTTGCCCAGCAGTTCTCATTCATTACTTAGAAGCATGCCCTGCACCTCCATGTTCAAGAAAAAGCCCTGGCAGTGTTCAAGGAGAAAATGAGGTTCTGCTCCAGGGGATGAATGAAAACCTCCTGCTGGGCAACAGCAAGGATTTCTCAGGGTTTCTAGTTAAAAGCAGCTTCAGAGGTGTTATCCTACTACAGTTCCATTTGAATTTCAAATGTACAAGTGTAAACGAGCAGAACTCAATATAATTGATGGGCTAACAGAAATATGTATCTTTATTAAAAGAATTTGTATGCGTTTTGGAAACTGCTTTCATATTATTGTGATGGTCTGTGTATAGACTCATGCTTAATAATGATTTTATTTAGAGACTGATACATTACAGTGCACTTACATCTTGTAATAATTAAACAAGATTTGCACAAATTGTATTTCAATATTCTATTCCTTTCTTAAATACTAAAATACTACAATCAATATCTGGATAGTATAAATTGAGTTGTAATACAGTATATGTGCTCTAGTAGCACTGAACATATGAGTATGTGCTCTTCAAGCTGTACACAGCAGTAGCTTCTACTATTGAGGTACAAGTCACAGGAACATAAAATCAGTAGTTTGGGATCATATTAAGAATTCATGTAATCTAATATCCTTGCCAGAATTGCTCTTAAATCTCATTCACGGGCTTTTACCTTGCAACTCCTTATTGCCAAAAGGTGACTTGATTTATCTAGTAACTGTGTGAAAATAAGAATTCCCTTTGATATTTAAATACATTTCTAGGAATTTAATTCTATGTTTTGGCTTATAAAATGTTGCAAATACCCCTTATTAATCTCCAGAAAGGTTATTGTTATACAGCTCTCTACTACAACTTTTTCAGTAATTTCTGAGAGAGAATAGGACATTTCTGTCAGCTTTCTGAAGGGAAATGAAGTCAAATATATTGACTTTGATTCTAGATTACCGTTAGTTTTTAGTTTTAAAGATTAACAGAAGGGCACAGGTAGATAAGTGCATCCACATTAACCCCTTTCTGTATCTTTTCTCCTTTTAGAAGATCATTTCATGAGATTGAGAAGAGTGGGGAATCAGAGTGGCACAAGCTATTCAAACTATAGGCGTAGCACCAATATATTCAGTGGCATAATATCTGGAGGTCATGCTGAATTGTCTGTTCACTAAAAGCCAACATGATACTGTCCCCACTCCTTGTCAGAAGGAGCACACCGAGGTAAAATTGCACAGTGTAAATGGTAGAAATAGCACTCAGAGATGAAAACAACTTGTCAGTTTACCTACTCAACTCTTCTGCAGCATTGTTAATACCATTAAAAAAACTGAGCCAGCTTCAGAAAAAATGTCAAGTTGGATAACCTTATTTCAATCCAACTACTATGCTACATGCTGTCCTAAGAGGTTTTTCTGCCAAAGAGCTTTTCTACCCTTCTTGCTATCTAATATCATGGTATGGCTGCTGTTATTCTCAGTAGATGGTGGATTACGCTCTCTTAGGGGCATAGGTTTTCTGTAGGAAGCACTTTTCCTAAGAAACTTATCTTGGGAAGTGCTTTGGACTCTTCTTGCTGACTGCCTTTAATCCAATAATGTCACTACAGTATTGTGTGACACGGGCATCACTCCTGTGAAAGATTTGTGCCAGGCAATTCTGAGACAAGAGGAATAGTCAAGGTTATTTTTAAAGCACCAGGAGTAACTTAATCTTGGCAACATAATCACTAATCGAGAATGCACAGCTTGCTATTAGTGACACTGATACCTTGTAAAAGGAAAAGTAAAATTCACCTGATTATTTATAGAGTTGTTGCATGTAGTGAAGCAAGTGTGTTATTGCAGATTTACAAGTTAGCAAGTGGTTCATAATTAGCATATTATTCATATGCAGTGTAGGACTCTTAAGATAAAGAACCAAACATCTATGTTCGAAGTTCCTAATGTTCCAGATAGGTTTATGCTTACTGTTCCATTTCCAGTGGTTTAAAGATAAGAAGATTATTTTTTTAAATCCCTTAAATAATTCCTTAAAAATAAAATGGGATTTATTTATGCAATAGTATCTGTAAGCTTCTTGGTTCTGATTTCAACAAAATATATTACTCCCTGTCATGATCCAATTTTTAAAAAAATAATGCACTCACATACCTCTACAGCTGTGTCCTAGAATTTCTACTGCTCTCCTGATCCAGCTCACAACCCTGAGGTCAAAAGGAGCTTGACCTTCTCATACAGCCTCAGAAACCATCTTCTCAAGGAAACAAAGATGCTGAACTAAGTAATAAACCTGACCAAGCTGGACTTATTCACTATATAATTTGTGTTATTCTCACAGAGCATTCTGATTAACTGCTTGAAAGACTGTTAGCAGCTAACAGGAAGGTAGAGCTTGTTTTTATTTCTTGTGCATTTTTCCATACTCAGACTCTTAATGGAATTTAGGAAAATAATGATAAGCTAAAAAAAGCAGAGTTAAATAGTGCTTGAAGCACAGTGCAGGTGACACAGTGAAGTTATCTTTTGAAGATATCTCACTGGGTAGTAAAAGAACACTTGTGTTTTAAGGGCCCCATTATTTCTGTCTTCATAACATATATGTAAAAAAGGAAAGTGCTAAGGAAGAACCATGACTATACATGAGTCTGAGCTACCCTCTTCTATGCAAGTGCCACAACTGATGCATTATTTGTGATATCAGAGCCTCCAGAAGGGTTATACTGTAAGCTCAAACCATCCCTCTGCAGCAGCCTTCATCTGCTGACTGCTGTAGCCCCTGGTTTGCACACAGTGCCCCCGGGGACCCAAAGGCATTCCCTCCCTGCATGCCAGGTGGGAGCCGCGCTCCTGCTGCAGCGCTCCTCGGGACAGCGCCAGCTCAGCTCTCCTGACCTTCAGCCGCTCCTTCTCATCTCACACTGTTTGCTTTGCCACAACTCTTTCTTCCCAAGGCACCCCCTGAGGCCACATGGAAAATGAGATCAGCGAACCGATCTGTGTTAAAAATAAACCAGGAAAAAACCCCAAAACCATTTTGCCAGGTGGCTGAGAAGCAGTTGTTCCAGTGCCCTTGGCATCCTGGGTGAGCAGATGGAGGGGCTGGAGCTGGCACTGCTGCAAGGAAATGGCACATGGCATCCCATCCAGAACAGGGGCTCTTGGTAGATGATGGCCTCAGGGTAGTTCTCAGAGGGTGGATTCCTACACCAAGCAGCTGAACTCCGTGACTGCAGCGGGGTATTCAGGAGGCTGAGATACTGTGGGAATCCAGGGCATCCCTCTGACTGCCCTGGAGGGCCTGGGACCCTGGCAGGGGGTCAGGAAACCCCTGTATAGAGCCCCGAGAGACACTGTCTGTGATCTCTGTCCATGGAGAGGAGTTTTCAATCTTACAGGATGAATTACACGCTCTGAGTGTTTGATATGAGTAATAATTAAGTGTGGCATGGGTGCAAAAGTAAAATTTTAGGTTTCTAGATTAGGGGTTCAGAGGGGACAAGATGGAGGAATTGGGTGTGTCTTGTCCTTTTCCTCCTTCTTCATGCCCTCCATGTTTCACTGTAGTGTTGGCATTTTTCTATTGGTTTAGGCTGGGGACACGCTGTTCAACGTAGATGATAGATATTGGAACATTATTGTAAATATAGCACACGTAGTTTCTGGTATATAATGTTTGTAACATCCCACTGAGGGCAGAGCCCCACACGCTGCCCTGCAGGACAGACCTGCAGCAGGGCAGCAGAACATGTTAGAGATAAACAAGAATAAACAACCTTGAAAACAGCACAGATGAATTATGGCTTCTTCTTTGGCAACAGGGCAGAAAGACAGAGACTTTCTACAATCTCGGAATCATCAATACCACAGATTCCGGCAAGATACCCTAGGTATCTTTTTCTCTAAAGATAGGCAACAAAGGGGAAAAACAGCAGAGATGTGCAGGAACTGTTGATGCTATGTTGTCCCTGATGAGTGGAGAGATATATTTGTATTTGGAGTAATGAAATTGCAGTCTGTCAAAGAACAGCTTTTCATTATTTCTTTAGTTTTTGTTCAAAAACTAATATTTAGCACTTTGTCTGGCTTGACTTAGCAGTTTTAAAATATAATAGAAAACCTTCTTATCAGTGATTTAGGATCACAAGTCCTGGGGCTCTGTTTTTTCTGAGCAGCTCACTCTTCCTGCAAAATCACAGAGTACCTTCAGCTTGTGTGGAAATTAATAGGTTCTGTTGTAAACACATGTCTAGGGCCTGCTTATGCTTTTCATTAAACCATCATGAAATAGCTATTGCTAGATAACACCAGCTGTGGCCATTTTATCCTGGAAAGCAATTGGGATGTTTCAGTTAAACTGGAACCAGGAACTACAGAAAAAGTCCACACATGGAATTAATTTGAAAAGAGCTAATCAGAGAAATACCAAGTGCAACCCGTGGTATTTGCTATATATTTACATGGTTTAAGTTAGGTTAAAGATGTTCATCTCAGGGTGACCAATAAAGGCCAATTTGGCCTTTATTCTCTGAAACTTTACACGAAATATGCACAACTATATTCACCACAAGTATCAATCCCTACCACTAGCTTCAACTGGTCACATTAATGCCATCTGGAGGTTACTGTTTGGCCAGCAGAATGAACTATTTTTATTGTTGTTGAGGGAGTAAGAGATTCCCTAAAGGGTGTTGTAAATTTAAGCATTGGCTCTGTATTTAGCAATGATTTGGTTCTGTGCTTTTAAATATGCCTTCCTAGCATATGGGCTTATTGGGTAATAAGATTGCTCAGATTCATATGATTATTTATTTATGTTAGTATAAATACAATTTAATGTCATAGCTTATAATTAATATTTCAGGACTAACAGTGAAACAAAAGAAAAAGCAGTCTGTGGGTCATTGAAATAATTGTCATTCTTACTATCATCTCTTCCATTCATCATTCTAGGAATATACTCACAGCTTTCTCCAAAAGCTTGATCAAATAAATATGTCCTTCACTGTGCCTGGAGAATCAGTGCATCTGGACCCAGCTAGGGAGCACACTGCAGAGATTTCAAGTCTGCACAGTGTGTGAGCTGCCAGCTCTGCCTCTCTTTATGTGACCAAGAATAGCCTGCTCCAACGCCTTTGCTAAGCCAAAACTGTTGAGAGGCAACCAGTCCCTTGGGAATCAAGCCAGGGTTTTTCCCAGTGACAGATATATTCTATCTTCATCCTTATTAATGGAACATTTATAATTGATTTCCTTTGTTTACTCTTTCCCTTCTTTTCGCAAGGAAGAACAGAAGTCTAAACTTTGCTTTCTGTGTGACAAACACAAGGGAATTCCTTACAGAATGTTAATCACACAATGGAAAGCACTGAGAGACTGCATGGCTTTCTATTAAATTACAATTCAATTTCTACCAGTTATTGAAATACATTGTTTCTTCTGAAGCCCAGACAGAAAAATAACACATGTAATTAGTGTGGATTCTTCTCTGAAAAGGTAAATGTACAGTTACAGGACAGTTCATATACAGGGCTGGAAAATAATAAACCTGGTGGAAAAATCAAGACACAAATCCAAGCTGTATTTTTTCTGGCAGCAAAGTTGGTTTTTAGAGGTTCTTGCTTTCTATTATTGCACCTATGGCACAGTTCACTGCCTCTGCATTTAGCCACTTGTGCTAATGTGACTGTTTTGAGGCTGTGCTGTAAAGTGGATTAGTGACACAATTTTAGGAAGATTTCCCCACTATCTCTAAATAACACTGAAAAATTCTATACATTAGCAAGACCCTTTAATGACGAGGCCTTGGAACCATGCTGTGCATCAGCTATTAGCTCAGAGAAGTACACTCAGGTAGTACCTGCTCCTCAGAGCTCAGCTGCTGATTACAGGGTGCTGCAAATGTGGATATGATGTTATAGGAAGCATTGTATGCACTACCCATACTTAAATGTTAGCCCCATGCTGAATAGGACTGAATCTAGTTTTAAAAGGTGTCCTTCCCTGTTAATGCAATGAAGTCAGAGCAAAATTGCCAACCTTTACTGAGAGACTCGTCCGACTCAGAACTGTATTGAAGTGATCTTTGTCTTAACTGCCTCTGCACCCAGTGATATATCTTCAGTTAATAGGCATCACGAGAAAACACATGGCTTGGAAATTAAGCAATTAAGCCCTTGCCTAAGAATAGGAGTCCTAATACTATCCAGTATGATTAACTGAGAAATTTAGAAACTGCTCTGGTTCTAAAATGCTTCACGAAAAAATGTTCCTATCTGTTCCTGTTTTGCTTCACCCAAATTCAAGAGCAGGTCCATGTGAAATCTCACCCTCCTGTTTTACACTTTTGTTTTTATTTTGTGATAACTGTGATGGTTTGGAGGATTTTTTTTTTTTCCAGCCTCTGAATCAATACAGTTCTACTACCTAAAGCAATAGTATAAATATCACTAAACCAGCAGGGAATTGATTTAAGTCTATAACAGCAATGAAGTCACATGGCATCATCAGCTGCTGATCCAGTAGGAGACATTTTCAGCACACTTCTAAGGTTTTTCCTTTTAACTAAAAATGTGGCTTGTGGCTTTTTCAGAGGCCTGAATCCACACTATGTTTTACATTCTCTCTGTGTGACAAAGCTTTAGGACAGTGCATAAGGAACTCTGGTTGTTGTCCAAAGAAAGACCTGTGCTCCATTATAATGATGCAATATTTCTAGAACTTTGCTTTTTTGTCACAAACATTTCCTCCTCAGCTGGAAATCTGTATGGGGTTTGTCTGGGTAAATTATAGGCTGAATCACTATAAATTCTCAGTTAGAGAAGTGATGATAGGAATAGTAACAAGATTGTGCCTCTCAGAAAATCATGGTCTCAACAACTTGGTCATACTAAATTTGGGATATCTCTTTTACAGCTATTATCCAAGTGCTTTGTAATAACCATTAAGGCAAAAAAATCTGCCTTAGTGTTCTGTCAAGCTCTAACAGCCCTCAGTTTTGGCAGTAAAAATATCAATACTAATCTCAGGCTGTAAATTGATGCTACAGAGACTTCAGTGATTTATGAGTTCCCATAACACTCTCAGTGCAGGGAAGAGACACAGCTTGCAATCACAGCCCTCAGGTTAAGTTTCCAACTAATTCTCTGTGCTGCTAAAGAAAAGAGATTATTTATTTATTTATATTTAGTCCATCCAGACCCTTAAGAGCACAGGGCTCCTTGCAAAGACACCACT